GGGGAGGGGGCGGGATGTTGTGGGGTCGCGGGCGCCGCCCCGAAGGCTGCGGGGCCCTCAAACATGCCAGGAGTGCGACTCCCAGGACCCCCGCCCAGGGCTTTGGGGATGCTGGAGGTTGTAGTCCAGCGCATCGCGGGGGGGCCGGCACCAGGCTGGGGAAGGTTGGCTTAGGGGTGCCTCGGAGGTGGGTTCTGAAGCAGGAGCTGTTTTTCTCCTGTTCGGTTGATTAGTGTAGAAGTTTCCAACTCGGGAGTCCAAGTTTCCCTCTTGTCTCCTGTGGAGACGTCCTGCCTTTGGGGTCAAAGAAAAAGCCTCTTAAAGTGCACCCAAAGGTATGGTTATTTTTAAAAAAAATCCCTTTAGGTTATATTCCTTGGTCCTTAGCAATCAGTACTGTTGCTTTTGAACAATATTCTCGATTCTGCCCCAACAACAGTTGGATTCTGGGTATGCCTAAAACAAGCAATCCTTATTTTTAAAATTGTTTTTCCTTATGCTATTTATTCTGCTTGGTCTTAGCCATTGTAAGCTGTTTAAGGACCAAAGCCTTGCAATGTGTACTATGCTGCCTTTCCTCCTACGGTTGAAATATAAGGGGTAGAGTCCTCTTTTTTCAATGTAGGACATGCTCCAGTCATCCTCCGCCTGATGACAGCAGTGGGGATGGTTGTAGTATGTCTGAAAGATGTGTAGTTGAGGTTGGGTTAGGTTGTTGTGTTGGTGCTGGGGAAATGGGGCTTCACTTTGCCATAGATGATATTGAGGGATGCTGAACATGAAGCCATTCTGTCATCCAATTCAACATGTTCCCATCCAGATGCTTTAAAATACAGCTTCTATCATCTCTCACATTTGACTGGGCTCAGATTTACAATTCAAGGAATGGAAAGCACATCCAGTTACTTATTCCATGTCTCCGTTTACTTTATTTTCCTGAGTTATATCTCAGGAGGATGTGGTTTGAACCTGGTATTTTTGTCTAAGCAAAGGATGTGTTCCAGTCCTAAGGTATTGCTCCTTTTCTTCTCTCAGTCAAACCTGTCCTGTGTGGAGTCTTGAGTTTCTTGGACAAAAAGAGGAAAAGAATCTACAATAAATCTCACAATTTTTGTAAACCCAGAACCATTATTATTATGGGGTAAAGAAGTATTATGGTTTGGGTATCAGTATGAAAAAGAAATAAGGGTTTTAAAACTCCATTCTCCTCAATATATATTTCCTTTATTTTTATTTATAAAATATCTTAAATTATTAAAAAGAACTCCAAAGCAGAGGGTGATAGGGAATCTTCTTAGATGGAATAATTGTTTTGGAGTAACATTTCTCCACTCTGTACTGCTTCAATGTGCAAACATTACTTCCCTATGCAAAACAAATAACTAAAAAAACTTAGGAGTTAGAAGGCTTTTAGTTGTGCCTTCTCTTTGACATGTTAGTGTTCTGTCTGAAGGGGAAGTTTAGTGTAGAAGTATTAAGTTTCATCCTTAGATTATGGGCAGCAAGTACGTAGTAAAGTTCTTGAATTCTGAAACCCTATTGTGTGGACCAACAGCATTTGTTGGAAGTATACCTAACTGGATATTGGGCTTATATTGATGACAGCATTTGAGAATTAGTATTGCTGGCTTAGAAATGGGAAAACTCTAAGTTCTAGTCCTTTCTTAGACATGAAGCCAGTGGGATGACCGAGTCAGTCTCTCGGTCTCTTTGGAAGCAAACCACTTCCAAAATGTTACTAAGAAAATTGCATGGATCTGCTCATGTAGTTATCATTCAAGGACCATAACAATAACATTAATGTTGCAATTCCACATTTACTGTTTGATTCTACCTGTAAGAAAAAATGTTTCTTTAATAATTTGCTTCCTAAAGGTAATGATATAATGAATATAATAATAATAAAGCTAGGTAAGTTGTACCCTGGTGTGTGTAGGTGATATACATATATCACCTACATATAGCTATATAAATTGAATAAATAAATAATACATATATAAAGGGGGAGGCACAGACATACAAAATTATGCATTGTTTGTTTTTGTGTGTGCAAAACTGTTTAAAGAGCTTTGAGTATTTTTGGATTTTAATAACATGAAAGCGTGTGGTACTGAGTTATCAACTGTTAACACTTAAAACGTTCCAGTAAAACATTTTCAGTTACAGCTCTAGAATTGTCTTGAATACATTTAAGAAGCATTTTATTGATTTTGATGTTTGGCTAATCAGATATTCTGGTTCCACCACTTAACAGGTATTGGAGAACCCTGAGATGCTTTGTGCTTATGGAAGTTCAGTTGACAAACTGTATCAAACATTTTAAAGTGGGGTTTAGTCCATTTGCCTCAGAAAACTTTCTAGTGTAAAATTCGTAGAAAACCATCTTTAATGATTCTTCCAGAAATACTAATAACTCACTAATGTCCATAGACTTCAGTGAGGCTGTAGATGGCAGTGGATATGCACTTGCTTCTCCATTTCAGTATAAATTTAAAGAACATTTGTTCAATTAGGTTTTAGATTAGGCGATGTATCCATAGAATCTTCCATAAAATGTACACAAGTGGTTTAATTTGTGGTTCTTCCACTTCAGAATGCATTCCAACTTTGGTCAAATTTCAAATAAACTATTTTAAGAATATATTATATCTATTTTGTGGGCCCCATATTGGCTTCCCATTAGTTTCCAAGTGCAATTTAAAGTGCTGGTTTTAGCTTATAAATCCCTTTATGGCTTGGCATTGGGTTGCCTGCAGGACCATATCTCTGCACTTGAGTCAGCCCAACCTGTCCAATTGTGCTGGGAGAACTAGCTGTCTGTCTTCCATTTTTGGTAGATGGGGGGCGGGGGGGCGAAGCTTAGAGACATTGCTTCTCCATTTTGGGGTCAGCTGCCTGGAATGGCCTCCCATGGAGGTTTGATTGGCTCCAATATTATCTGCCTTTCAGAAACAGCTGAAGACAGCTTTTCCAAAGGGCATTTGGGTATTGATGCTGGATTTTATACAATATTTTTTTTTAATGGATCTTTGCTATTGCTGCAGGGAGTCCATTTGTGATTGTAACAGGATATAAATGTAATTAATAGCTTTTTTTTTAATCTGTTCAGTTGTGTCTGATTCTCAGACTGCCTGGACAAGTCCCTGCAGTTTTCTTGGCAAAGTTTTTCAGAAGTGGTTTGCCACTGCCTTCTTTCAGGGCTGAGAGAAAGTGACTGGCCCAAGGTCCCCCAGATAGCTTTGTGCCTAGGTGGGACTAGAACTCATAGTCTCCTGGTTTCTAGCCTGATGCCTTAAGAGTCCATTTATGATTGCGGCAGGATATAAATTTAATTAATAGCTGTAGTTACATTCAAAGTCAACAACAATGGGACTGGCAAATCATTTTCAAATATTAAGGATTTCTTCAGAACAAATAGTAGTCTGAGAAGTTTCTGCCTCTCATGGAAATTTGGAGTATGTGTTACAAATACATGTCCTTGATAGGTTTCCCAGTGGGGATAATTTATTTATTTATATTTCAAATTCAGTCACTGCCCATCTCACTCAGGAGCAACTTTGGGCGGTTTACAGTAAAACAAGCATAAATATTAATTAAAATACAATAAAAAACCATGTTCATACATAAATAATGTCTTCCAAGATATTGATGGTAAATAAAGATTATGGGAGTATCTTCAAGGTGCCAGCCACCCCCAGGGTTGGTTGCCCTGCTTCTTGCCCCCACGTGGGTTGCCAGAGCCAGGTCTTCACCCTTCTCTGGAAGGTTGGGAGAGTAGGGGCCCACCTTACCTCTGGGGGGACAGTATTCCATAGGGTGGGGGCAACGGCAGGGAAGGCTCTCCTCCTGCCAGTCGACATTCTTTCGTCGGCGGGTTCTGCAACAAACCTGCCTGACTGGGTGGGACGGGTCGATGTAATGGGGATGAGATGGTTCCTCAAGTAATGCATTTTAGGGCAACAGTTCAAACCTCCACAAGCTAATTCAGTTTATGTATAAAAGGTATAATATTTTTGTTGAAAAATACGCCTTTATATTGGTGTATTAGTAAGAACAAGCTTTATGAGAAGTTTCTAATTTCTAATGCAATGTCTTTAATGCAGTACATTCTAATACAGTAACAGTTCCATAATTATGCTTTCTCTTTATTGCAGCTCCTGCCAGTGTTCGTTATGTCCATAATGATATGGTTGTGCCAGACTTCTCTTACAACCGTCGCAAAAGCGTGATGGATAACACAAAATCATCCCAAGAAAGCAGCGAGGAGAGAAAAACATTCACCTACTTTATGAACGGAGCAACCTATTTGCTCGCTGCATACGTTGCCAAGAATGTTGTTGTAATGTTTGTCTCCAGCTTGAATCCTGCTGCTGATGTATTGGCACTGGCAAAGATTGAGATCAAGCTGTCTGATATTCCAGAAGGCAGGAATATGGTTTTCCAGTGGAGGGGGAAACCCCTGTTTGTGCGTCACAGAACCCAGGCAGAGATTGAACAAGAAGCTAAAGTACCCTTGAGTGAACTAAGAGACCCACAGCATGATTTGGATAGGGTCAAGAAACCTGAGTGGTTGGTAGTGCTAGGCATATGTACCCATCTTGGCTGTGTACCAATTGCAGATTCTGGAGATTATGGTGGTTATTACTGCCCTTGCCATGGGTCGCATTATGATGCATCTGGCAGAATACGTAAAGGCCCAGCTCCACTCAATCTCGAGGTCCCAGAGCATGACTTCCCTAGTGAAGATACACTTGTCGTTGGTTAAATGTTTGGATTCTTGTGTACACGTTGAGGAAAGAATTGAATCATAAGATATTGCAAAGCATTAAAGTTGAATTGTGGGACTATTCAGCTTTAATAACGAATTAAACTTATGTCGTCTAATAAGATGTATGCTGTCCGTACTTATTGAATCAGCCTAATATTTTTTTTCTAAACAAAGTGTTATAATGACAGACTATTAAAGGTTTGGATGCAAAATTGGTGACCACGGACCTAGTTTGCACAGTAGGATGGTCTGAGCCATTCCAGCTCCCTGAACCACATTTTCAGAACTGATTTTCAGGAGAGCTTCCAGCCTACCCTGATTTCATTTTAAAATTTAGCATAGAAATATAGCTCTGAGGCACTGATTTATGGAGAACTTAAAAAGACCATTTGCAACCAACAGTATGAGAAACTACAAATGCTGTAGAAGGCTTACTCTCTTGCTTTAAGTTCACACAAAACAGGAGGGTTCCATTTTCAGGTTGAGAAGGCACCAATAGAGAGCCAGTTTGATGTAGCAGTTAAGGCATTAGGCTAGAAGCTATGAGTTATAGCCCTGCCTTAGGCATGAAGCCAGCTGAGTGGCCTTGGGCTAATCACTCTCAGCCCTAGGAAGAAGGCAGTGGCAAGCAACTTCTGAAAATCTTGCCAAGAAAACTGCATGGACTTGTCCAGGTAGTTGGCAGGAATCCACTGACTCAAAAGCACGCACGCATGTATGCATTCAAGTCCAACATCATCAAAGAGCTGCTGCAGGTTTCTTCTCAACTGGGGTGGCCTTCAATTCATTGCAATTGGAACCCTTTTCAGGGCCTTGATTCTTGTGACATAACAATTACTAAATCAGAAGAGCATAGCTGACAGCAGAATTTGGGGAATACAATAAAATCCATTGTTTGACACTGCATGGTTGCCAAATGTGCAAAGGATTGCTTTTTGCCAATTAGAAATACTAACTAGTTCCCCAAACAATTTCTGTCCTCTCCCATAAAATACAATCTTCACAGCAGGGATAAGAAGGGTAAAAGAACTAAATACATAAATGGAAGTTCAAAATCGTTAACTTTGTTGTGGTTTCATAATAAGCTTATATTGGAGGCATCTTTCATAAACTAATCGGTATGGTCATCTTTTGACATTTAACACATTTGTTATTTTTTTTATAAATGTACATCTCACAGATGTGACTGCATGGCACACAAAATAACAAAAAACATTGAAATGCAATTAAAACAGTTGAAACTATAATAAGTTGAAGACTACCTGTAAGTGGGCTTCATTCCATGCAACAACAATCCTGTGAGGTAGCTTATGCTGGGTAGTCACTGGCCCAGAGGAGACTTGTGTGTGTCTGATCCCAGTGCAATATCTTAACCACTGTGTACTACTATTCATCTGTCTCCTTATTCTAACTTGGCGTTTCTCAACCTTGACAACTTTAAAGATGTGTAGACTTCAGCTCCCAAAATTCCCCAGCCAGCATGCTGGCCGGGAAATTCTGGGAGTTGAAGTCCACACATCTTAAAGTTGAGAAACACTGTTCAAACTTAGAACTATCAGCTTTCTGTCCTCTCCTGGATCAAGCGATAGCTCTTGCTCATTCGTATGCTTTCAGTCATGCTTCCTCTCTATCTTTCTCCTACAGCCTGATGCAGGCTTTCATATGATTTTACTTGTCCACCTTCAGTTCTTGCAAAAAATCTGCTCTTCCCACCTGTTATCTCCAAGCCAAAGGTACACCTGCTGGCAATTGAATCTCATACCAGAGGCAGCAGCTTAGCTTTAGGGGGAACATGTAATATACCCAACTCCTTGGCACCTATTCTTTCTCAGGCAATATCTGTCTGCCTAATGATAGGATTGGATCCTACTGGTGGTTGGCATCGTATCTAGACTATCTTGAGTGATCAAGCATTTTGGCTTACTTCAAATACCTTCACAAGCCCCAGTTTTTCTGAGAAACTTTGTCACAGTTCTCTTGGTTCCTTTGTTGTAACTATACACCACTCTGTATACACCAGGTAACTACATAGTTTTCAGAGCAGCCTGGGAGTTGGAGAATCATGGCCCCAGCACATATGGAGGGCTTTACATTAGGGAAGCTAAGAAAAGGTCAGAAGAATGGAAGTAGTAAAGTTCTGCCAGGTGATGATTCATGAGAGGGGCCTATCAAAATACTCGGCAGGCATTTTGATAGGTTGTCTGCCTGAATGGAGAAGGGGCTATTGCTTCCAGTGTGAATTTCATGTCATTTCCAGATTGCACAGTTGAGGTCGTTAAAGGTCAGAGCTCCAGGTGCCATTTATCTTCCAACTCGATTCTCAGTTCTACCTTTCCTATCTGCTTTATTTCCCAGGCAAATAGACTTCCAATTATTTCAATAGGTCATTCACTCAGCGATAGAGATCCATTTCATTAACTTTTGTCACTGAAGTGAGTGGGACTTTGTAAGGTTCTGAGCTGCGAGGACATTTGTTAAGCCTGGTGCCCTTCACCTTTGCCTCGCTCAACATCTTAACTGAAAATACAAAGGAGGAAGAAGTTGGCAAATGTAAATAAAACAGGAAACCTCCTTTCAAAGCAGGACTTCAGGAGAAATTTCAGAGTTCCACTCAGCTGCGTCAACATGAGGAAGGCTTTCAAAATGTGACAAGCTTGTAATTTGCCTCTTGAAGAATGTAAACATTTTTTACATTACTACCAAAGAAGGGGAGATCCTACTAAAACAGTAAGTGAAATCATGATGGCAAGATGTTATAGCCGTGACTGCTCAGAAGACGATGCTCAAATACAGATGCTGGAAGATGTAATTCAGCAACATCTGGAGGACCACAGCTAGTGTGGATGGTCTTGTGCTGTAGCAGAGAGGAGAAACTTTAGAAGAGGATTTGTGTAGCTCAGGGTTGAATTGTGGAGTCCTTGGGGTTCTCTGAGCTTGGTTATTTTCTTGCAGACGTTTCATTACCTGGCTAGGTAACATCTTCAGTGTTTCAGGAGAAGCTTTTCTATTGAAAGCTGTCATACCTTAAGGGTAGTTTGTTGGGGGCTAGAACTAAAAATGGATGAGGTCATCTTTTGTACCCTGACACCAGAGCTGCCAGAAGCAGGTGTGCAAGTTGTGTACTGCACAAAGGTGCCATGACATGGGGGGTGCCAAATGAGGGGAATGGTAGTAGCCCAGTGCTGCATTGCAGGGCGCCAGGTTGAGGGAAGAAGCTTATCCAGTTACTACAGTACTCCATGCCTCTGTGCAAGCGCTGTAGAAGAAAAGGGAGAACAAAGTTCTGAGAAGCTGCAGGTCCCACATACGGGACTCGATGCTCTGGCAGCAAAAACGTTTTTGAACAAAGGGGCCTTAAAGGTCAGCAGCGGCCCTGCCTGACACCATTTTTCTCTCTTTTCTGATAGCTTCTCTTTCCCAAGCAGCAAGCTGATTGGCAGGGACTAAACCAGTGTTTCCCAACCTTGGCACCTTTAAGATGTGCGGACTTCAACTCCCAGAATTCCCCAGCCAGCCAGGGTTGGGGATTTTTGGAGGTGAAGGGCTCACA